GAAGCTCCCAGTGAAATTTCCTGTTTTATATTTTTCCGGAAAATTTACCCAAATTTTATTCTATAAAAACTTTGGATGGGACAATAGAAATGGGACTTTTGATTGCATGGAAACAGTATTAAAGAAAAAAATATCAATACATTCATTCCTCAATTTAAATTAATATTTTCAAGTTTGCTTCCTTCGAAGAAAAGAATAAACTGTAAACAGGTTATCAAGGTGACAAAGGTAAAGGATACCTGAAGGAAATGCAATAAGTTTTGATCCATCAATTCAGTGATAATCAAAATTGGTTCGTCCTTTGTGCATACTGCATACAGTTGTAATAATTTCGGATGCCTTAATTTTTTCATAATTTGTGCCTCTGATAAGAAATCATTAGGATCAGTTGTACCACTTTTGAGCATTTTTACAGCCACTGGTGTGGAATGATTCCATCGACCTTCCCATACCTAAGCAATTTTTCAATCATTGTCATCCTAAAAATGTTTAAAAATTCCTAAAACAAGAGAGAGAGAGAGAGAGGTACAAATGAGTAGGAAATTTAGAAACCAAGTGATTATTCAGTTTGATGGTTTAGAATGAAATACATACGAATATGATGAAGTTTTTCAAGAAGCATATATTTCAGAACAAATTCATTTAATTAGTTAGACCGAAAAAAGATTATTATGACCTTCTCCTAATTTAGTCTAATGAATTCCCAGACATAGGGATATTCAAACGCAACTTGTCCTGAAAGTGTTTAAGCTATAAACAAAGATACAAGTTTTTTTTTCCTTTTAATGTATGATTAGTTCAAGTTAAGTTTGGAGTGTTCAATATTTCACTCCGGAATAGTGCAAATTCTGAATTGGCATTGCCTGAAACCTATTCCTTTCAGATTGTAGTATGAGTAATTCCGATTAAGGCATTTCAGAGAATTAAAACATTACGAAAGTTGATCGGTAAAAAAAAATGACTGATATAAATAATGGATAAAATTTAGTTTGGCAAATGAGTACAATTGCTAACTTTGAATAGACATACATCACATTTGTGTCAACTACGGGCAAAATCGAATGACTGTTTAAATTTTGGATGAAAATTAAAATTCCAATTGGAGGCAACAAAGGGAGAAATAAGATGAGATTATGCCATATGAAGAAAAAATAAGTCTCGAAAAGTTTATATGAAATAAAGAGAAAGGAGAGAATCAATATATTCTTCGAATTTTGCGAAATTTGAGAACTTCACAGAATGCTTTATTAGTGAAATGCTCAGTAAATTACTATTCAAATTGATCAAAAATTACAATTAATTTTGCTTTTTTAATAAATATGTGAAAATTGGAAATCAAATAATCAGAAATGGCAAATGAAATAAATGATTAAGACTTAAAAATACTTCACTAACTTCACCAAATTGTCCAGCACCAATTTGTCGAACTAATCTAATTGATCGTCGATCGATTTCCCATTGATCATCATACGTGAATGTACACGTTTGTGGAACATCAAGTCTTTTACAGGGATGTTTAAGCAATACGCATAATCCATCTTGCTCACGTTGATAATGTGTAATTAATTCGACAAGTGTACGGAATGATCGTCTTCGAGCTATATAGAAACCACCTTGATCCAATTGTCTAATTCGATAATGCTTTACTGCATTACCATCACGTACTGCAATGATAATTTCAGGTGTAAAATTTAGGTTTAAAATTTTGAAATTCCAGTGGATACCAAAATGTTTTTTGCAATAAGCAAAATCAATAATGTTTGCTTTTTAGAGGAAAGCGTAAAAATTTGAATTAATTTGTTATCAACCTGATAATGAGTAATCATTTTGTCGACTTTCTGAATCCCGTACAAGAAATGCTCCATGTTCATTGCTATTCAAAAGCAATAGTTTTTCAGCATCAACTCGTCGAATTAACCCAAAATACCATCTAAAATAGTATTAAATTACAGTTGTAAAATTAGTTTCATTGCATAGTTAAATTGTTAAAAACCAATAAATTTAAACGTCATATGATAAAATGAAATTTAAAAGCTTAATTTTACAACCAAGATCTGATTCAAAGATTTTAATTTTCTCCATATTGCATTGTTTGATAAGCAAATTCCAGCAAAATATGATAATATATTGTTAATGGATAATTTAAATTTCATAAAATTGACAGATTTTTCAAAGTTCGAAGAAGTTTAAAGAGGGAAAAATAGTGATGATGGCCTCTGCATGATTTAAAAAATTTGGTATGTAAAGAACAAAGAAAAGCAAAAAGAAGGATAAAGATGTTACCCCGTTCCAGTCCGTCTACGGGGGAATTCGCCATTTAGTTTTAACAATTATATTTTGCCCTGAGGTGTCGCGGGTTAGACGAACAACCGGGCCAAGGTAACGATTAATGTTAGTTCTTGTTATTATAATTGGATACACAAATGAAATATTGCATTTTCTACGATCTCTAAAATTAACAATTGATGAAATTTCAACAATGGACCAAAATGAATGAGTATGATATGAAGCGTAAAAATTCACAATTAAATAAACAAAAGTAAATGGCAATGACCGACTTCATTGGGTCAAATCGAATTTTTGGTGACAAACATTTTTGTGCCCAAATGTTTCGTCTCAGTACAGAAAGGATTTTTCCGGAATTATTTAATCGTTGTGGTCTCTTCCGGTTGGCGCACTTTCCAATCATTCATCCGCCTTTTCAATATTTTATTTATTTTCCGACAAAGAATTGAAATCTTTGCTTAAAATCTGTTGAAATGTTGTGAAAATTGAATGTGAACTTTATGGATGTGTATGTGTATGCATGTGTATGTGTGCATGTATGTGTATATGTGCATGTGTGTGTGTGTGTGTGTGTGTATGTGTGTATGTGTGTGTGATATTGAGAAAACTATTTTTCCTCCTTTTTTTTCTTTTTCGTTTTTGTTCCTTCCGATACATTTACGATTGGACATTTGTTCATCTTCAAGCAAACTATTTTGTAAATTAATTGGGAACCAAAAAAAGAACTGAGTTTGTTGAGAATTTCTAAAAATTGTGATTTGAATTTCATCAATCACTAAAAATTGAAGGGTGTAAAAATAAATGGAATGATAGATGTGAGGTTATCATCGAACTGATAAGGAATGAAAGTTCAGGGAGAATTTGATCATGAAAATTGAATGAAAGAATGGATTATTTTCAATGCATAATATTTGCTCCGTTTTTTTCTCAAATTTATTCCATTGTTCCATTTGACGTTACACGTGTTGTACACGTAAAATACGTGTTGTATACGCTTAAATATATCAGATTATCTCGGATTATTAGAAAGAATAACAATAACAGTAGTACAAAGTTAATTATCGGAACAGTTTGGGCGTGTAAAGTTAAATGTTGATTAGTACCAGTTTGACATAAAATAGATTTTATTATTATTTCTATTAGTAGTATTAAGATCAAGCGAAGGAACTATAAATTTTTCCTAGCAAAGAGTAGCAATTTGAGGAAATTTATATAAATTTAAAGAATCAACTTGTATGCAGGATGGTTGTATTATGATGATGTATATTTTGACCAATTATCTAGCAGCAATAAATAATTTTTTAGATCATAGCGACACTTGCGCCACTTATTAATTCCATTCATTTATAATGATTGTTCCTGTTAATGTCCTCAATTTCTTTTTTTTTAAATTAATAATAATTTTATAAAATGTCATGAAATTTATTCATTTTTTTAATCGTTTGATGTCTAATTTTAATATTATCATCCTTCTCAGGCTTGTCCTTTTTTTTTCTCTCTTCATCATCATGAAAGAAAAGAATAAGTAGCCCGTATTTGTTATGTAAAATGGTTCTTTCTTTTTTTTTCTTTGAAAAAAAATCCATAAATTTGCTATGCGTTAAATTCCTAAATTGAATTACTAATTTATACATTTATTTCATGATAAAAAAGAAAAAAAACGGATAAAATTGGCGAATATTTTCTGTTTTCTTTTAATTTTCCATTTGAAAATTTCCATTCATAATAACGCCTTAATTGGAAGTTTTCGTTGTACGATTAATTGACCTTAAAATTAACGAAATTACCAAGTTGTACATATGGCGAGATATGTGTGAAAAGTTGGACTGTGAAAAATCCCAGAGATTTACCGATAACTCATTAATCGAGAAAAACATGCACAGAAAAGATAGACTGCAAAAATGTCATCAAATATTCTCTAAATAGATTCATGATTGAATGACAATTTTAGTATCCTATCTCTCTTATTATATGACATTAAATTCCATAAATCTTGCCTATAATTCAGATGAATACTAATCAAAAAGTTCGGAAATGACAAAAATTTGGACTTGACTGAAATGATCTATGATATCGGAAATTTGATTTAGATTTATTGATTTTATCCAGATAACATGAAGAGATTTCCGCTATCCGGTATATCCTGGTAGAACATAAGACAAAGATAAACGTAAACGGAATTTGATAACAATAACGGATTTGAAATCATTGATAAGCTGTTTTAATATATTTCTTAATACACTATACAACCCTCTATATATTTTCTTTAAAAAGACAAAAAAAAATACTTACAAATGGCTTTTAGCTCCTTACCGTAAAGAAAACATGAGAGTAAAATGAATGAAAATCAAGAAAGCAATGGATGAATAATCGAAAAAAAAAGTCATACTGATCCTTCCGGTTCTGCCGGTGTGAATATAATCGGAAGAAAAGGTATTGCGGAAAAAAGTGGATGGGATTATGATACCAACCAGAAGTGATATTTAAATTATCATAGAATTAAAATCAGTGATAACAGTGATAAAACTACTTGAATCAGACATTTTTTTAATGCTTGAGAGAATCAAACGGACAAGTAAAACTATGACTAAGTTTAGGAGCCTGAAACCAAGAAATGTTTTTATGGTAAAGTGGACGAGAGCAGGACAGAGGACAAAATGACATTCGAGATGACATTTGAATAAGTGTAACTGGAAGAGAGGAAAGTTTAGAGCTTACGCTTCTGCATCCAGGCTTTTCTCCCGAGCAACATAGTTGGATGGAATATAACCAGATAAATTGGTCGTTTTACTCTTAGCATACCACCAGTCGCCTTGCATATCATTCAGTATGTACAATAGCTCATCCTTCTTGAAACTTAAATCTTCGTCCGTTCGTGCATCGTAATCGAATAAGGCCACAAACAGAGGCGGACTAGCGTTGGATAATTTTGCCGTTGTGGCACAACTTGTTTTAATATGATTTCCGGTTGATGGATCAATGATGATTGCAGTAGAAGTGGATATGGAAGTGGTAGAATCAGTTACAGGAATTATTGCAGTTGGATGTATTGCTTCCAGGATAGTCGACGATGATTTTTTGCCCAGACAAGAACCCATTTATTGCACAAAAGCCAATACAGCTATATAGCCCATACAATGATTTAAGGTAAAGAAGCACGGAACTGATACTTATTACAGAATTTTTTGGATAATATTTTTTGAATCCAAAAAACTATCGTAACGGTTGTTGTTTTTCACCGGAAAATGGATGGTCACCATCAGAGGGGTTAAATTCTTGCAATAAATACAAATAGGAAATAATTTTTTGTGATCAAAAAATCTGTACAGCGTACGCACAGTACAACACGAAATATATATATATATATGTATATATATATATATATATATACGACACGGAGTA